CAGGTTGTTTTTTGGTATGTACCCTATACTCTTTTTATTATTTACACTGCGTTGTGGTGGTGTTTTTTGTTCTATGAAATTTTTACATATTTTGCTAACAATTAATTCTAGCTATGGCTGGGAAACTTGCATGGGTGATTGTACTGTAAATTCTTTGTAAATACAGTAATAAATAAACCCCGTTTCATTTATGCAAATGTTTTTAAGTTTCCAGCAGACCAGGTGTCAGAGGGTATTTTTTTAAGTGTGCCATAAACAGGGGGAAAAATGCTGTTGAATTTTTTTTAACTGTAGTTGGCTTGGCTCTTCTGGCAGACAGGATCGCCGATGTATTAAAAAAAAATAATCTTTAACCCTTTGACTGTGAAACCCCCAATCCTGAGGTGTCCCGGGGTCGCAAAATTTAAAAAAAAAAAAAAAAATTTTCTTATGAAATGATAGGAAAATCTTTTCCCGATTGTAATGACCCAAAAAAAAAACTAAATTTGATGGAAAACTGACGGAATTTGTTCCGCAAGTTAGCGACCCAGCGTCTTTAAAAAAGGCGTTTTTTCGCCAATTTTGACCCCATTTCGGCTTTTTCCATTGTTCCAGTCGCCCAAAATCTAGCTATTTCTTTAGAACCCCATTTTTTCTATCGATTGGTACAGAAACTGCCTTTTATGATTTAATACTCAAATGTGGTCGAAATTTGCAATTTGGCCCCAATTTCAAAAAAACTAAAAAATATGAAAATTGCAAATAAGGTCCAGAAAAAACAATGCAGACTTCCTGGCTCTAAAAAAATTTTTCTTGTTTCAGCCCCTTTTTTCCCCAGGCCCCTCTAAATTTTACTCTTGCTTTCTATTTTAAATTTTTTTCAAAAAAAAAATAAAAGACTTACTATTATGCAGATTGCATACTATAATAATTGTTAAAAAACTAAACCCTCATGACTGCATTTAAGAATGGTGTTGGCATTTTTGGACAATGGCATCTTTGTTTACTTTGAACATCGGCAAAAATAAAAATTTTTCCCCCTTTGAGCTCCATTTTAGGTTCTTTTTATATTAAATCAATCAAATCCCCTTATTTTACAATATTTTTTTCCTTTCTATCAAATGAGACCGGGGGGGGGAAAACGAGTAAACCATAAATACTATAAAAAAAAACCCACAAATTGGCCCCATTTTAATTAAAAAAAACGGTCGGATTTTTTTTTTTCTCATATGCATGCGTGCTCCAGGATTTTTTTTATTGGTCCCACTGACCCACAGACCCCTTCTCTCAATGTGGGGCCCCACCAGCTTTCTCCTGTTGATTTGAAGCCGCTAGAATTTTGAGTATGAGTGGTCGTCGGGTTTTTTCGTTTTCGCCGCAGCAACAGCTGGTTGATAGGCGTGATCCCCCGGCGGCTGGTCACAGGGCCGGGCCGGGGGGCTTTTACCCCCGAAACCCCTCCAGGTAAACTCCAGGTTTTAAAACGCAAACAGGGGACCTCGTAAGCGTTAAACAGCCGGACAGTCAAAGGGTTTAAACAAGAGGAAGGAATTCCGGCCCATGGTGATTTGGACAGGTTTTTAGGGCTATAATCTACCTTTTTCTACCCTATTTTTAATACTAATGGGGGTTTTCTTTGTTTTCTTTTTCTTAAAATATTCATTGGGTGTCAGCTAGTTTGGGGTGCCTTTCCCGGTGGGCTGTGTTGCCAAAAAGATGGTGTACTTGGAGCTTTTTAAAAACATTTCATGCCTATTTGAAAAGCTCCTGAAAAAAGCAGTTTTTGCAGTGCAAAAGAGCCTTGGCAACTCATCCTTTCCCCCCAACCCGTGGCCTGGGGATTTTTCGATTTTCTTGTTTGGTTTTTTGACACGCACATATATATTTTTACATATACATACTAAATTATAAAATTCAAAATAAACAAACCCCCTCCCAAAAATTGAACATTAATGGGAAAATCTTCAAGAAAAACTCCATATTGAGCATATGGCATGCCCAAAAAAATTCACATAAAAATAAGGATAAGAAAGAAAACCAACATTGAGAATGCACTATTTGTGTACATATTAGATTAATGTATTTTCCGTTTTAATATTTTAAGTATTTTAAATTGATAATGCCCGGCAAAACCCCGATGATTGTTGTCCCATGTTTAAAACATAGTAATTTTGCCCGACCATTTGTTTTTTAAATTTTACAAAACTGTCTTGACTCTGGTTTCATGAGGTAAAACATCTCCCACACAATTCTCCTAATTTTTTTAAATATTAACTGAAAAGATTTGCTACATTGCGCAAGTGTTTAAAGTACCATTTAAATGAGAAATGAACTTTTTTGGGAAATTTTGAGGTAAAACATGTTTTCTGATGGAAATTAGGTGGTACCCACATAGCCATGAGAAAAATTGTTGCAGCAAATATTTTAAGAGGCTAGTTGGGCCCCAATTTAATTTTATCTCATGCCCAAAACTTCAGTATTCTGCTAGAAAAACTGAAGGCATTGGCCCACCAAGCAAAAAAATAACCGTGTGCCCAGATCACAGGTGCCTGGGGCCTGGGTGGCAAAAGTCTCACTTCACGGGTGAGGGGCGGGTTTGATTCCCAGCAAAGGGCTGGAAACATTGGATAGCTTCCTTACACAGTTGTCTATGTTCACCCATCCGTTTAAAAAGGGGCACCCGGGGGTTAGTTTATGGTGTGGATGGCATCCTGGGGGCAGAACTGACCTAATTTGCCCCCAAAAAGCTCTGCATAACAAGCGGCTTTCTATAATAGTAGTATGCATTGAGTCGCTAGGCCCGTTACCTTGTACATGTTGTGTAGAATGGTTATATACCGACAAGATTAGATTAAGACACATGTGAAAATTGGGTTTCTTTATTGTAGCGTTTGCCAAACGTGGCTTTTCAATTTCAAATTCTAGGACTAACTTTAAGACAGTAGAACTATGTACAGAAGATGAGGTAATCAGTCCCCCCAAACCCAGGAGTAGGTGCGAAAGGCACCTAGTCGTGGAGTTCTCCCCGACATGGTGGTGATAGCTTATACGTAATGTGCGGCAAAAACTTTTCACTGCTAAGGCCTCCCCCTTCCATATTTCTTCCAGTGCATAAGAAAAAATAAAAATAAAAATAATAATTTAATAATATCTTTATTTACTACAAGTACATGTACAAGGTGAGATTAAGACCTGTGCAACATCTGGGTATCTTTTTTTGTAGACGTTTGCCTCCGTGGTTTATAAAACAAATTTGGGCTTAAATTTAAGACAGTAGAACTATGTACAGAAGATGAGTAATCAGTCCCCCAATAGGAGTGGGGCGAAGAGCACCTGTCGTGGGATTTTTCCCCGCTATGGTGCTCTTCGCACCTACCCAAGGTTTTGGGGGGGGTGTTACTCATTTTGAAAAAGTTTAGTCTTAAGTTATGTCCTGAATTTGTATTGATAAAACCCCTGGATGGCGAAAGCTACAAAAAAGATACCAGTGTTTTCAATGGTCTTTAAACTCACCTTGTACAGATTGTAGTAAATAAAGATTTTTTTTATTATTATTTTTATTATTATTGTTTTTATGCTGGAAGAAATATGAGAAGGGGGAGTGCCTTTAGCAGGACAAGTTTGTGGCACAGGCATTTTCGTATTAGAGCTAGTCACCATTTCCTCTCGTGCCAAGACATGCGC